ATATCTGTTGCTATTTATGACTTCTCTGCTCTTTTCTTTACTGTGCATAAGGAAGGATGCAGCAGAGATGCACAGGGAGGGATGTAGAGTTTTGCTTGGCAGCTTATCCAGCTTACCCTGGCCATGCTTCCCCCACGCGGTGTCTGTGGCCATTGTGTGTTATATTAGCTGGGTAATTTGTTTATTTATTCATTTTTGAATAAATGGATGGTGAACTTTAATTTACCTTTCACCAATTATACTGTTGTGGCTGATCTATTACAATAAAAGAACATAATAATTAATAGTGTTTAACAAACACATATTTTTTTTAAATCACATGATTGGGACACATTCCCATAATTTTCTGTTCTCTCTACATAATATTTCTTTTCAATTTCCCATTTCACAAAGTTTTGTAAGACTCGAACGTCCTACAGCCAAACCATGCAGCTGTAGCCCAGCATGCAGTTGTGTATACAGGAGAAAAGACGGAGTAAAGTGAGGGGGACATTTATACACTTACCAAGCACATGCTTACTGTAATAATAAATACAGATAGGTGCATATTCTGAGCCAACTTAGATGACAGTTGCTGCTTTATATTCTCTTGTGTGATCATAACGCCAGTAACATTGGAAAACACGTTTATTAACGGTAAAACTGTTGGGTCATGGAACAAGGTGCAAGAAGGCTGGTGTGTCTCCCAAAAGTTTTACAGTTAACACAAACCTTCATTTCTCTTTTCACTTCACCGGGCTCCAAATAGCAACCACGAGGACAATCAACCAGATCAAACTGGTGAACCTTCAAAGAGCACTGGCCTACTTCAGTCTCTGTTTAAACAAATACACATTTACATGTAAACACACTGATATGTGTTTACATAGAAATGTCTCTTTAAACATTTCCCATAACTATTTCATGTTGGCTTGAAATAAAATATCTCCCTCTGCTGGTCCTACAGCTTACTGCAACTTAAGCATGCGTGTCCTTTTCATGCATAAGAGAGGCTGACGACCGCATGGTGGACCAGCATGTCTAATGCACGCTTTGCCGTGATATCGGGTTGGAACACAAATTTAATATATCACGACCAATCTTTCTTTGAACTTGAGCTACTGTCAGTTTATGTCATGCAAAAATAGAAGAATTTAAGTAAAACATTACAAGGATTTGAAAATGTCTGTGATCCCACTGTATGTATTATTGTGTTAAGTAGTCCTAAATTATCTAAATTACCTGCTGCATAAGTATCATATGTCGCTGTATCTCATACATTATTGCTTACTTACATGTGTGTCTGAATTACAGCTACTAAATCAGGCAGAGCTGCACAGCATTGTTAAAGATAAACTTGCTTTAAAGCACAAGTCGAAAAAATCAATTTTTAAGACATTCATCGAGTAGAGCACTAAAGAGAAGAGACCAGAGGACTGCAGCCTGGGTTCACATCAGGCTTTCACAGTACAGCACATTCCTTTTAACAGTTAGAGTACTTTTTACATTTTAGAGCAGAACATCTTATACAAGCAGCTGATTTTATTTATTTCATTTTACTGTATTTTATTTTAATTTTCAAGTGTTCAGTTATAAAAGATTATTTTACGAAAGAAATTAACAAATTATTCTGTATCATAAATGTGATTTCAGGATTTTGTAACAATCCAAAAGGTTCTAAAACTGTTTGATAGTTCAGCAAGTTCAATAACAACACTGGAGGCCACCTTCAAGCCAGCTGCACAAGTCACCATCAAGTGCGTATTTTGGAGACGGAGATGCTCTGTCCCCACTGCTGTGGGCCTGAACCCCCGAAGTGAGAGAATTTACAAGAGTGGCCACAGGATAGAACAATCTGGATATCATTTGGAGTGGAGAAATGTAGTCGGATGGTAACTAAGAGGAGGAAAGTAGTCAGAACCGAGGGAATTGCACTACCAGAAGGTAACATTGCAGATATCAAGGACAGCTTCAAGTAACTGGGAATCCTACAGGCAAACGAGTTCCATGAAGAGGCTGCTAGGAAAGCCTGAGGAATCAGCTGAATGGGAAGAACAACATCTGGGCTATCAGCCCCTACAGGCTGCCAGCTATCAGATATTCTCCAGGGATAATAAGATGGACAAAAGAGGAGATGGAAGCTCCTTACCATGCACAGAGGGTTTCACCTCGGGACTGCACCCTAAGTGGAAAGAAGAAGGCCGAAACAAAGATCATCCGTGAGTGCAGAACAAGCACAAGATCAAGAAAGGCTTGGGTCTATTAAGTGTTGCACCAGGCAAGAGCCCAGGCTGTGCAGAGATGCCCCTGATACAATCCAGCACATCTGTGGTGATACATGCAGCTGCACCGAGTGACAGCACCATCAGGAAAAAGGAGTACGAGAAACTCCAGAAGTACCAAGGTCTGAGAAAAGAGCATCCGCAGATGTGGAGGGTGAAAGCAAAAGTGATGGGAGCAGTTGGTTCATTGACCCCCAAGCTGAGTGAGTGGCTCCAGCAGCTCCTCTGGATCTCAGGAACAACACCTAGGATCTCTGTCTGGTTAGAAAAGATTAAACTAGCTCTTGCTTTTTACATACTCAGCGATGGAGCAGAGAAACTACAGATGAGCTTGTCATCAGATTCGACTGAAACTATTATGGGTTGTAACTGGAAAATATGAGACAAAACTAGCTAAGAAATTGTCACATTTGAAGCAAGGTGAAGGAATTAAGAGAAAAGCAAATACTACATGATCTGCGAGACACTGGGGAGAGCGAGGGAAAGGTGGGAGAGGGCAGCAGCCTTCACATCTAGCTCGACACATCACACATATGCACATATATGAACGCACGATCTCTTTGCCACCCTCTCAGACACATGCACACAGGCTGATCAACGCACAGCTTTCCTTTCTGAAGTGGTTCTGTGTGTGTTTGAAACTTGTGTACTGGCATCAGCGTGAGCAGACGACTAGCAGCCACATTAAATGACAGTGTGGAAACGTTTTGTTACAAATGTCTAACAGCGGTGCCCGTGCACCAGCATCGATGTGATCCTTGCTGGTTAAACTGTATTAAACACATTACACTGCAATGATGTCCAAACTTTGACCACTGATTAGTGTGAGCACTCCTTCTAAGTGACAAGCATGCTCTCGCTTCTGTAATCACAGAAATGATCTCGTTAGTGGGACAAGACTGAGCAGTTGTAGCTAACTGTGTGTGTGACTGTGTGTGAAGCTACAATCATTTGAATCACTTTAGTAACATGTTACCTGGCTATGACAAACAGCACACAACTGACACCCAAGTAAGCCAGCAGAATATACATCCAGATATCAGGCGAGAGGGGGTTGAGGAAGGAGAAGACCCCGGGGTTGGTGCCGTTGGGCTTGCGGTACAGTATACTTATACCCAGCGTCATGAAGGGCTTGGAGAAGTCGATAACCTTCTCGCGCACATACGTGATGGTGAGCGGAGCCACTGCAAGATCAGCTTTCTGTCAATAGGAAACATAAAAGGAAAGAGGAATAGGCTATAAGTTATGGGTACGGGAGGAACTTAGAGGCAATCAAATTAAGCAAACAGGGTCTTTACACACTACAGAGTCTGTCTTGAGGCACTTAGCTAGAAATTTAAAACCCTCTTTATCTTTCCACCCATCAAGAACACCTCCGTAATTAAATTCACTTTTTGCTTTCTGGAAACTAAATCAAAACATTCAGTTATTTCCTCTGTCTGCTTCCTGCTTGTGTCAGTGTAGACAAAATAAAGACGCTGCGGATGTGAGGACACTTGGTTAAGATGCTGCAACATGTTAGCTTATAAAAATATCATTGATTTATTTTTTAAAATCAAAATATTAATGCTTGTTTCCACAGTTTACATATATTATATTGTTTGGAAACCATTCTTAGGCAGCAAATGTGCTACAGAGGTAGACAGGAACATCACACCACTACATCTTAGGTGAAAGCTGTGTTGGTGTTGACAGTTCATAAATCTTAGGCTGCACTGTGACTCTAAACATCCACAGCAAGGTCAAGCAGCTCATTCCTCAAAGATATATCCTTTTGTATTATGAAGGTTGCCACTTAAGGATAAATAGACTGAGCTCACTGATAGATGGAGTCTATGATAACATGCATCTGTGAATCCATTCACACTATTAAAAAACAACAACAAACAAAATCAAACAAAACAGCAAAACAAAACCGCAGGCTCTGTTATGTTTTAGAAAATATTTTGGTCCCATTGTTTCTGTGTACCTGACGTTTCACTGCTCACTATTAAACATTAGTGAGATATCAGTAAATACTGAAATAATCACGTATTAAGTGAAAAATGAACAAAAGATCCTCTAGAGGTGCAACTTTAAGACGACAAGGAATGGTTTTACAATTGGAGGATGCTGATATTGTTTCCCTCGTCATCTTTTCTGTGCTTTTGACTCGAATGAGGTAACCTACAGATGTTGCACAGCTGGTCCAACTCATTCAGAATATCACATCAAGCCATGCCATTGCCAGAAAGTTTGCTGCATCTTCCAGCATAGTCTCAAGAGCACGGAGAAGATTCCAGGAGACAAGGAGAGGGCCATCGAGTGTCCATCAGCAGGACCTGTATCTGCTCGTTTGTAGGAGGAGGACCAGGATGAGCCAGTCCCTACAAAATGACCTCCAACAGGCCACTGATGTAAATGTCTTCATGACTTAATGACTTCAGGGTGACATAGGGGCCCAACATCCTCTAGTAGGCCTTGTCCTTGAATAATAATATGTAGTATGATTAATATAAACTACTACACATGTGCATTTATAATGATGACCCTTGAAAAAAGACAAAACCATAAAAAAGAAGTCATGATAGATATAAAAATGAAGAATACTGTGCAAGAATTGCCAAAAACAGTTCTGATTTTATTTCTTTTATGGCCACTCACATGTGTTAATGCAGTAACATCACTGTTTTACAGGTTGGGGATTTGAGCATTTCATGGAAATGCCCGTTGATTTGGGATTATCCTTGATCCCGACCCAACTAAACTGAACATTTCGTAGCTGCATATAAATACACATCTGTGAGATGATCAGGAATATTTTCTTTCTCTAATGGTTAAAACATTATTTGTGAAGAAGTTCAGCTCTGACTGTTTGTCAGCCTAGCTACAGAGCTGAAGAGAAACCTGGGGTTGTTCTTATTTTCCTTAATCAGTGATGAATAGTAAGATGTTCTAGCTTAACGGGGCAACAAACTATTTTTTCTAAATTGGTGAGATGTCATTTTATCTAGCTTACAAGTTATCTACTTTAAAATGTGCATTTAAGAGTTTTATCAGGGAGAACTTCTAACTTGAGGCTTTGTTTTTCAGAGAAGCCACAGAGTCGTACGCAGTGAAGATGTAAAATTATTAACGAGATAATAAACCACTGTAACATCTGCCATAATGAAATGTATTCCCTACTGCTGTGTAATCCATTATTATAAATGTAAAACTAGACTTGATCAGACAACAGAGGGTTTTCAGGGAATATTGTTTAATGATGACTTTCTGTGCATTTTGGTGGGTTTGGTGGGTGAGAGAAGCCAGAGTTTAATAACAGATGAAGTGACATGTTGA